GCCCTCGGTTAACCTTCTTTCTGCTTCTTCCAGTGGACTGATTGTTTTCTGAGTTATGTCAATTGCGCTCGAAAAACTGCCTTCTCAGTAGCCAAGGCAGATCTTAAGTCATTGACCAGCCAGTGTCGCGTCATTTTTCAACATTTTTTTCTCTTTCTCCTATGAATACAATTTGAATGGCACTTACTGACAGCCTACCTAGGAAGAGGCGTGTAAACAGGATCTGTGAAATTGACGGTGGAGCCTTTGGCACTTTAAAATGGCCACTGAAGAAGACGGGCACCGACAAACACTGCTTTACTCACTGATGGCGTAATAAACAATTGAAACGTCGATATAACAACAGACGCTCTACTCATCGAAGGGTGTTTGGACCTTGCTGACATTCGCACCCGCCCTCGTTTAAGTTTAAGCATAAGCACATTCTCTCTCTAATCCCTTCACCCCTTGGTTGTCCTGTCGCCATCGCAAGTAAAGTGGCAGGGAATGGTGAACACATGAAAGCACTTATTCGCCGCATTAACTGCATATCTCAACATTTATGCGAGTGGTCTGACATGTGGCATGCTTACCAATGTCGGTAACAGTCGTGTTGGAAGGAATGAGAATTAACGAATTAGGTATGGTGTAGTGCGGTCTCATGTTCTGGTTGTCATTGCTCTGCAAGAACTTCGATGGTGGAATCAAGCACAAATGTGGTAGTTGAGAGGGATGACTTATCTTGCGGGAGGCAGGTGTAGGGAACCACGCAGTCAAGAGGGCCTTTCATTACGCACTCTCAGCCTACTCATGAATAAGCGTGTAAATATATTGCAATCATCTGCTGTACTCTTGCCAATGGCTTGAAAACAGGGTGGGTGCTATTCAGCGGTTGCTGTACGCATGCCATGGGGATTCATTGCTACTTTAGTTACCTTTGATGAGTGCCCAGAAAACATCTATTCCACGCCTGAGGACCGTCATAACCATAGATATCCTACGCACTATGCAACAAGTGGTCTTATTAAGAGCGCTGCAGGAATGGATAGTGTTTTTCTTGGTTGCGGAAGACCAAAGGACCAATAGCTACCAACACGAGCGAGGACTGGTTGCATCTTTTATCCCACGCGCTTGGTCAATAGATTAAAACGCGCAACTAAGTGATCACGAGTAGGTGATTGGGTATCTTGTGGGTCGACGTGACAATGACTTTAAAAGGAAAAAATATAATTCAACATTTGAAAGCCATAGCGTAGATTTCGTGCTGCGTTGCATAGAACCTTACTTCTCTTTTATAAGTCCAGTAAGCATATCATTTCCTTATAAAAAGTGCTGTAAAGAGGTTTGATCTTTTAGTTATTTTAAGGTGTCAACAAAAAAATTTTCCCAAAGGTAAATGATGCTTTCTTTAACGTCCCTCGCTGTAGCGTCCTGAGACTTTCCACAAGGTGAGGCTGGATACGTCTTCCAAAGAAAACAAGGCGAGTATGCCTGAGCATGGCCGGTTAGCCTACGGGTACAAGGGTTAGACAAATCATAAAGTGACTGTCAAACGTCAAATAGTCACATAAACAAAGCATTACACTCGCATATTTTACTTTAGTCCAATCAGTGTATACCATTTTGGCTAAATGCTAATCTTGCCCACTGACTGGTAAAAGATGGAGGTAGTGGGATGGGGTAAGAACACGTAATAATCACGAAACTTGGTCGCCTCTTTTTGCACAAGCTTTGGGCAACCCTTCTTGCCGAAACTTCAGTACTGACTGTGTGACAAAGTCCTGTTCCCGCTGCACCCCGTAAAACCCAAAATCTGTATTACAACACCACTAAATGGGTGACACCACTTTCTTGTACATTCACAAAGATCTAAATTTGGATTGACATTTTGGATGCTGCTTAACACTCTACCTTCTGGTTTAACAGGAGCGAAGTGAGACCAAAAGTACACGTTTTCACAGGTCTCCGAATCCTCTGAAACTCGACGAGTGGATCGTATTAATTATTATCTCTGCCATTGATTCTGCTAGGCTTAGTGGCTAATTTCGTCGGAGAGATCGGTGCGGACAAAGCCAGTTATCAGGTGCCGTCCCATGGGCACCACAAACATGCATCGCCAGCAGAGAATCTCCAACAGAAAGACTGGAAATGTTCATTAACTTCATCGACATTCACGATTTTTTGCTCTACTCTCTTTACCTATGCTCCAACTATAAGATACTTCCTCCATCACTGTTGCACCGCAGCCTAACTAAACCTGTTCTTATTCACAGAAGATGCAGCTGCGATGAAATTCTTTACACGGGCTCGTGGTGATAGGGTACACGACTCACAAGCTTAACGCGTTGCATCGATAAAAGGGATTCCTTAAAACGACACGAAGAAACTTCGATCTTGTCAAATGTGCTCCAATTACGTCTCTCGCTATTCTATTTTCGGGTGTAGGAAGGCGAAGAACCGAGGGAGTTTGTGCTTGCCCTACTCCAAGTAGACACACCGCTAAAATTCGCCACTCTAGCAACGGACGAAAGATTCCACGTGTCCAGAGTTATACTGGCATTCGATGTATCTTTACACAATTTTTTGAACAAAAGTGGGCCAACTTTGGTGATGATGACGATGACGATGACAAATGGCAGTTTAAGTATGTCCACTCCTGTAGATGTTTGATGTGGCAAGTGAGAAGCAGACTTCTACGATGTTGCAGTCTCCTCTGATTTTTAGGTATTTGATATTAAGATGCACAAAAATCTGTAACAAGTAATGTAAATACTACCCATAAAAGCAGGGTGATGTTCCAAATTTCTTATTGCTTTATCCAATTCACGAAGTAGCTAATTCAGAAATTAAAAACCAAGTCGGAAGTATATTGGTTAATAAAAAGGGCAAAGGAGGGAACATCTGCATTCCTTTCCATGCTCGTACTCTCATAAGCTGTTTCTCTGCGCCTTTTTATACCGCGTTATGATGACCGTGGCACTCGCACCATTCTTGTCCAGCAAGGCTGCTGCATTGGGAATGATGTTGTACTCTGCAGCCGGTTACACCTTTTATTCATATACGTAAGAAGCTCATTCATGAAATCACTGTAAAAAAAGAAAAAAATAAGAGTTAGTAACAATTTTTGTCGTTTTGGATTTATTGTGATAACAGTCAACCCAAAAACTGAGTACATTTTACCAAAATAACCAACAATATGTCAGAATAAACCCAAATTTTATGTAAGAGGTGTGTAATTCAAATACAAAACTATCTTCACATGTAAATATACCACATTTATAGCATTAATATAATAGCTACTTGTGCCATTCGAATAACATATCAGGCAAACACTAATACCTTAGCATCATCGTCAACTTGTCATTATGACAACTCAGTTCCCGGACCAAAGTCTAATCATCCTGCAAATCTGGAAAACGCTGCCACAAAGCCTAGCTATGTAAGAGCACACAGGACACGTGGTCTGCAACCTTTCACGTGCTGCCCTTAGCCGGTTGCTGCACGACGATACTTTTGCAATGAATTAAAACACCCATTTTTGGATCTTTTAAAGCTGCCAACTAAAGGCAGTGGTTACTATCAATCTATGAATTAGTTTTTCACCACAAAAAGCGTTAAATAATTTTACTTCATATTGCTAATAGGTAAATTTTAATTTTGGTATTCTTGCAAATTGGTATAATCAAAATTTGCCCGAAATTTGTCTTTTTATTTGGTTTTTTTTTGATGTGCTTATAGTAAGTAATTCCTTGACAAAATGGATACAAATATTTGCAGTACTTTCATTGAACTTCCTATGACGTGGAGTTCTAAGGTTATAACACTGAAATTAACCAACCATACTTTGTGAAGATGGAGGGCTTTATTTTGTACTGTTTCTACCAGTTTGTCATGCATTTAACAGCAGACATCAGTTTTCACTTTCTGTGTTGTTTGTGGTTGCAAGCTCCGAGACTCCCAATTAGGTAGAAATAAAACATTAATTTTGAGCTGATTATATGTATTCTAGGGGAGGGGGGGGGGAACAAATTAGGCCTGAGCCTAACCTAAAGGTCTAATTGCGAGCACAAGTGCAAGTTCACTTCCAAAGAAGCCGGTTGCGGAAACAAAGTATGACAATTACGTTAGCAAATTATAAAATTATACACCTCCTTATTTCTCTCTAACGAAACGCCAGGTGGCAGATTCTCATTAGTATTTCTCTTTTGGAGGCTACTTTGTGTTTGCTTTAAGAACGTTCCCCTGTCTGTCACACAGAGCCAAATCTGCAACTCATTGCCTCTACACTGGCCTCGCTTGCTTTTGAACATAGAAAGTTTGGGTGCATTTTAGCTACTACTAATCAGTGACTTGCGCAATTTATTGCCATTTGTGTCTGTGCTGCAGCGTCCCGAGACTTCCCACAGGATGAAAAAAGGCAGTAAATAAAGCCGGATACGTGTATTCCAACGAGAGCAAGCACATGGGTCTAAGCGTGGCCCCAGGTCCAGCCCACGAGCTCGGGGGCTAGACAAAACCCAAAGTGACCGCCAAACGTCAAGTGATCACGTAAACAAAGCATTACATGTGCCTGACACTATGAGGTGAGTAAATAGATTTTAGAAATGAGGCTCGAGAGTACCATTTTAAGCAAAATGCTTACAAAACTAAAACTCTGTTTCATGTAGGTTACAATCGTCTTCCTTGGTTGCAAGTCAGCTTGCAGACTTGGAAGACGCTCTTTTCCCCTACCGGTTGTGGGCAAGTGCCACTTGATGCGCCTTTCTTACGGACACTACTCCAGCACCGCAACGTCGAGGTAATGTAAGTTCGTGAGGGAGAACTCCTTTTCCCCTTATCCATTCCAATTTTCCCATTAGAGCCGTCGGACTACTACTTGTCACCGGTACACATCAAGATGTAGCCGTCGACGGCATCGAAATGATAATAATAATAACAATTGTAGCTTGTCGATGGCAGTAAATAGTACAGACTGTTAAAAAGCTGCTTCAAAACTGGAGTGGAAGTCGACATGGTAATCCATGCGCCTTAATCCACTCCCTTCTCCCTCCTCCTCCTTCACCTCCTTCCTCTTCTTCTTCTTCTTCTTCTCCATTCCCGCCTTCCTCCTCTCGTCCTGCGGCCAGTTCATTCCATGTTGCTCTGACTTTACTACTGCCACAGCTACGTTCCCTTCGAACCCGTCCAACGAATCCCGCACTGATGATAGTGAGGAGGCCGGGAACGTAATGTCGACACCGACCGCCTCCGTCACACAGGTCGGTGTATCTGCGACTTAAAGAAAAGTGAATGCCTAGTTAAGAATGCTTGTGTGTGTGCGTGTGTGTATGTGGGAGTTTGTGGGTGGTGTTGATACACAAATGATTAATTTTTATTTTGCACGATAGGCATTAAGTTTGACAAACACAACGAGATCACCACATCACACCGATTGGTTAAATCGCAACCGAAGATAGCCAATGGAAAATGCCAAAAAGTGTTGGTGACTTCCAACTTTAAATCCACAATGTGACACACACACACACACACACCCCGTCACTTGAACGCCAAAGCGATGACAGCCAATTTGAATGAAATTTTTGAAGGTTTACAAACTCAACTGAAGGAGTTGCACGAATTCGTGAGTAAAGCAAGCGATATTGCCGAGAAGGCACATCAAATCAACGATGTGATTCGACAAGTTGCTAGTGTTCCGGTCAGACTTTTTTGTCCTCTTTTCCTCCTCATCCATTAATTTTGCATGCTTATTCGCCTTGTCTTTCCCTTACAAACTCTGTAGGAAGTTCAAGAGGCGAGGAGGAAATTGATGAAGCTAAGAGGCATCGGACAAAGAGTTGGACCTTTGATGAGGGATCTGAAAAAACTGATACCACCACCAAGTCCGCCGCCACAACCTTCCGAATCGCTCAATAATGTAAGTTTCCTTCATTAAGTACCTCATTTTTTTAAACTCTCAACTACCGACATTAATGTTGCTTCCAGGCGAAGGTGGTTTAGCCGTGGAGGTGAGATGCACTGCTGTTCAAAATGTCCTTTTCTCGATCATCAAATTCCACCTAATTTGGAGGTCCTGGAACTGAGGAAAGTGCAGTCATGTGGACGATTTTGGCGACTAGCTAAAGCTTAGCACCATCGAGAGGTTGGAAGTGCTCCCACGTCTCCTTCATTTGCATCCTAACCAATCTCATCGCGGTTAATCCTCTTGTCTCTTTTCCTACTCCCTCCACAGGCACTAAAAGATGGAATAGCAAAACTCATTGTTCTGAATAAGGCACTCGCCAGTCTCCGAACAGTTCGAAACAACTTGGTGCACAGTAGAGATGAAATCTCCTCGAAGTTTGCGCCTCTTCACAAGGAAGCAGACGCGGCTCTGGTGAGCATTAGGGCGTCAGTAGACAAAGCCTTCAACAAAGCTCGAGTGAGGCTCGAAGCGGTTGAGATGAACTTCCAAAAGGAGGTGAAAATAATAAAAACTGATTTAAAGGGAACGGAAAACAGCATCCACTCCATTCCAGATGGGCTTCCTCGGCTTGATGACAAGGAGGTACCTCGCGTTTTCTCTTCAACCTCCCTTTAAACCCTCATTCATTCAACAAAGTAGGCCAACGCGTTTCCGTACTTTGCAGACGGAAGTTCAAAACGCTGTTGGACTTTTTTTACGATTCAGTAACGTCAAGGCGATGGCACAGAAGGTGCGGGAGGACTTGGCACAACTGAAGATGGAGAAGTACACCGTCTCGCAGGAGGGAGTAGCACAAGTAAAGTTGACGTTTTGCTGTTAGTATTTTCCATTCTGCAGACCTCGTTGATGCTTTAATTTTGGTGATTAAAATTGCCCACCTCTTCCCAGTTGCACGTTTATGTTGACGTTTGATGAAGTATTTTGTTTGCGCCTCAGATAAGGGATGAATTGAACAATCTTGACTTTATCATCGAGAGGGACGCGACCGACCAAAGCAACACGGATGCTCCGCTTGAGACGGAATTCACGGATCAGGTAGTCCTTCACTCCATATGTTGAGGTGACCGATCGAGTTTGAGGCACTTTTGTTGCCTCAAATTCCCTTGCTTCGTAGCGAACAAAAAATGTCAAGTCATGTCGGTACAGTAGAATGCAGTCGATGTGATTTGGATACTGTCTGTCTTACGGACGGACATGTTTAAGGGTTTGGATAACATTCTGCACTAAAAGATGCCCTCAGGAAAGTAAGATCGATGAGAAGACGCAGAGTCTGGAAAGTGGAATGAGACCTTCTAAGGCGGCCCCCCACCACTAAAAAAAATGTAGCAATAAACTCACAATTTGTTGAAGAATACTTCAGCCGGATCCGATTTGTGAATTAACAGAGTCGTCTTTCCTTTTAGCCTAAGGCAAGCGGAAGCTCTTCGTAATCGGGGATTTTTAATTTTGCATCCCGTGAATCTTCAACCAGACCTCATCAGCTCTCAAAATGACTCTGTTATGTAAATCATCTCTACGGCAAGCTCTACGCGGAATTTGCAAACTTTATGATCGTGCATGATTGAATTTTTAAGTGCCAAAAAATTTGTGTTCAAGAGGACTTACTTCCTTAAGATGCTTGGCCGTGGCTGTGGGTATGCCTTGGACCGCTACAGCATCTGAGGCCGAAGGCGTCTCCTCATTGGTCAATTTACATTGTAATCCTGCAATATGATTGGTTTCTGCAAGGTCATCAACTGGAGATTAACTACTGACACTTTTGCACGCTTCCAATATAATTATCACTGTTTGTTAAGCCTTTATGGATGCAGATGGTTCATATTGAAGTCGTAAATGTAGACATAATAGGTTGAACCGTGCTAAAAACATTTTGATTGCACGCCACATTGGACGTAGATGCAAAGAATCGCCGAGGTGTTTTTGATCTAGTAGATCAAATCTTGAGCTCTGCCTTCTCTCAAAAGTGGGGAATAGTGTCACTATGTGCAAAATTAGATGGTAGATCATAGCTGACCAGGTGTAAGTACATTTCAATGAACTGCTTTAAAAACTGTATTAAGTTTGAGCTGCGAGAAATAGACGGAATGAGCACAAAAATTGCTCATCATAAAGCAAGCCCTCCTGTCTTCACGCACAACTGCTTCACCTTATCGCTCTCCACCTAAAGCAGCCTCGCAACACTCAGTTGCACAAACTAAATTAAGAAACTGCTAAAAGTTGTGGGTGGTGTTGGAGAGGTAGGAGAATGTGCTACCTGTTACACCCCCACAGGTGTCAGCATGCTCGTCACCATTTAACTCCAACGCGCTGTCACTAATAGCCAGGAGCCAGAGATCGTTTACCTTTTTACCTTTTACAAGGAGAACACTCAGTGAAGAACCAGCTTGCCTACCCTCAGGGCTTTGAACCTCGTGTTTCAGGCGTGGATGGCCTGCAGAAGCTTTAGTTGGCATCGTGTACAGCAGGCAAGAAGATGCGGAAGGACAGGTGAGACGGAAAGCAGATGTAAGCCTTAAAAGGAAGCTTCACACGCCTCACGTACTAAATTTGATTTGCCTTTGCATGGACTGCTCTTCATGTCGCCCATTCCATCACTGATCCATCAAGCAAAGTGCCACATCACGTCATCAGACGCCATGAATCGCCGTCTAGCTCAGTCTTCGGTGATAGTCGGTGGAGCTGATTTTTATCCTCTCCTTCCGTGAACTCACTAAGCAGGGAGGTTGTCTCAAGGCTTTGATCCTCTTTTCTGTACTTTTGTCCATTCCTCATATTTCTAGGCCCGTCTTAATGTGATCGCATAATATCTGGTGGTTACTTTGGTAGTTGTGGAACGTTTTTTCAGCCGAGCGCGGGCTTTATCTCTATGCCCGCCCCCCAGAAGACTTGCATCCAAAACTACACCAACATGTGTATGGAAATGCATCTTCAAAAGTACTGATGCCTCACCAACTGAAGACGAAAGACCAACTGTACAGTTCATTACACTTTGATGCAGTTGTAAAGTTAAATTTGTAGAATTGCAAAACCTTCACAGCGCGTAGACTTCTCTAAGTTGTGTAACAATCGTAGAGATAAAAAGTAGTTTGATTTAAAGCAAACAAAATGCATAAATAGCGTAGCCGTAGAAAGTGTCTGCCTACCCCCATGCCCTCGAACCACGGACTTCACAAGACGGTTATTTGAAGCCGATTTACTGGGCATTGAATGCAGGAAGAACGGCGCGGTCCTCACGGTTCTCTCCCACGGGATTTGCGTTTCAATTTTAGTTCCCGCCTCTCCCCAATAAAAGTAAACTTAAACAAACTGGTATACATTACACAGCCCCCCTTCTCTTTCATGCCTCGTCCCCGGAACTGACCAGTAGTGTTGCGTCGGGCGGATTCCCTCTTTCGTCTTCGTAACTCTTATGTGGCCGAGTAGCGATGTCTGCATTCCGAATGAGATAATTCGTGGTCTGGTGGTGGGGGATTGGAGTACAGACAGGCTGAATAGAAGGTATCAATCGGAGAGAGACTCCTCATAGTTCTCACGCACGAATTTCGTGTTACAATTCAGTTTTCGCATCGCCTGTGTAAAGGTCAAGACTTCCCATAGGGGGCGGACCCGTATGTGGCTTAATCTTGTTGTGATGTACTGCTGGAGGCCGCGTAGTGATCTCCGCATTCCGAATGAGGTAATTTGTGGACGACAGGACTTTGATTAGTCGGTAGAGTTCCTTGTTCCAGGGGTGATAGAACTTCAGATGGGCTCCTGGTGGGAGAATTGCTCTATGCAATTGCACTGAATCACCCCCTTTAAGGACGTTTGTTCGGATCTGTCTGTCGTAGGATCTCCTTTGCCTAGCGTATGCTTTCTTCGGCTGTCTGTGCGCGGCGTCAAACACTTTCCTGGGGTTAGCCTTTGGATGCAAGACATACTGAGGCGCGTCATCCACTGACGGTTTCTTACGAGGCAGCGAAGTGTTAGAAGGGACTCGCATTTCACGGCCCGTGAGCATCTTGAATGGTGAGACTCCAGTCGAGGTGTGAGCAGAGGCTC